CTTTTTTGAGTCACTACTCATTTCTTCAGATACTCCTGCCACAAATTTTGTCAGTCTTTAAGGTGCCACTGGACTCTTGCCATGTCCCACTCATGGGCTGTTCCTGTCTTTGCTTATCATCAGCCCCAGATTCACTTCTGGCTCCCTGATGTCCTTAAAACTTCCCTCGCCTCTTCCCCTTATTTATTTATCAGGCTGCCATGATGAAAAGTGCTCGTAAAAGTCGTGTAATACAGTGGGGGAGGATTTGGAAATCTCGTCGTCTGATAATAAATATCCACTATTGCACTGGAGGAGTCTAATGGCAGGCATGTATCTATAGCAACAGAAAGGGAGAGGAAGAAAGAAATACCCTGACCTTTTGTGTAACTGTTGCTCCTCCATCAACTTTTCCCAGGAGGTGGGAAATGGATTCAAGGCTGTTAATGGAAAACGTCTTCCAGACCGCTCTGTGATTGCCCAGTGACTCCCAGATTAAAACGAAGCAGACAGAGTGTGCAAAAAGGAGACGACGGACCTTGGAAACAATTATGCCGAATACTTTCCATATCACTGAACGAGAGTTTTGTGCACAGGAGATCTAACGCAAGACTGTCAAAGGCAGTGGGGAGCAGTTCGGCATAATACAAATACAATCCACATTGGATTTTTGTTGTTCAGTCGCACAGTCGAGTCCGACTCTTCGCGACCCCATGGACCAGCTCCAGCCAGGCCCTCCTGTCTTCCGCCATCCTCTGAAGTTGGCTCATTGGATAGGCTCCCCTTTCAAAGCTAAAGAATTTTTGCGGCGCCAGTTGGGAACGGAGGAAGAGTCCAAGGAGGAGGAAACGAAATCTAGTGACTCTGCCACCTCGGGAATGGAGGAGGACTCTGCTGCAGAAACGGGAGCAGGTGCTGCGAGAGTTGTATATGACTTTAGAGACAGAAAGCCGAAGTAAAGGCAGAAGGACTGGGGTAATAGCCTTTTGAAGCAAAGAACAAGAAGATGATCAGAAAGTTCTCTCATAACAACTAACATATTGACATATAAACATTGAAGCTGAGATAAACAAGACCTCTACAAGTATATTGTGATACTAACATTTATAGTATTAACACTTACACTAACAGGGATAAGATCTCCTCCTCTTGGGGTTTTAGTATAGTGTGATCTGTTCTTTATCCCTAGATGTAGTTCCCTCCCTAATATTTTCTTTGTAGTTTTGTAGTTAATTGCAAAAATAAAAATATCCCTTCGGGGATTTAAAAATAATAATAATAATAAAAATCCACATTAAAGAATGGCTTCATATGGAACTGAACTTCAGTTACTGAAGGGAGGAAGTTGCTTGAATGGGTTGCCAAATGACCAGAAACAAACTGACCTGGCTTGCTCTTGTGCAATTAACTGCAGCTGGACCTGCAGAGTTAAACATGTGAATTTTGTCAAAGTAACCTGGTCTCGTCAGATCATGGAAGCTAAGCAGGGTCAGTCCTGGAAAGTATTTGGATGGGAGACCTTCATACCAGTGGTGTGAGGCAGAGGCAGGCAATGGCTAACCACCTCTGAATGTCCCTTGCCTTAATAGCCCCACAGGATCACCATAAAATTGCTGTGACTTGACTTGACAGCTGTAACTTTCCATCACCATAAAGAAAGTACGTTAACACCTGCAAATAGTTGCAGATGAAGCTACTGCTGGACGCAGAGGAGTAAAGCTAGTTTTTAAAAGCTGGGAATCTTAAACTATTGTGGTCAAGCTCCTCACAGAATCCTATCTATTGTGAGTGTTTTACGTGGTCTGGCCCCCTGCATATTTTGCTCAGACTGAAGCCCCACTCTGTTTAATGGAACAAAAATTTGAGCCCAGTGGCACCTTTAGGACGAACAAAGGTTTATTCAAGATATAAGTTTTTGTGTGCACGCACATTTCTTCAGATACAATTAAACGGAAATTACGAGTCCATACATATAGATAGAGGGTGAGCAGTAAATTAACATATGGCATAATGAAGATGTTTATCAGATTCAAGGACCAAACAGGAATGACAAGCTTTGTTTATATGGTTACCATTTGTTTGGGTTAGTGAAGGATATAAATACGTCAACATTGGAGATTGATGGGCAGATGTTTCCTTAATTGTGAAAGGCTGAGAGTAATGAACTGAAAGCCTGCCATTCCGCTCCATCCCTCTCAAGCATGGAGGCACCTTGGAATTGCCCAAATTCATGGAATTGACCAAGGTGTGTTTGAAAGAAGCATAAATTACTAATTTCACCTCCAAAACACAGAAACAGCTGAAAAGTCTGTAATATGGCATAATTATCACTGACTAATTTTTTGTTGGTGTCTCGATATAGCTGATATAGTGGGTACGAAATGAGACCTTAGGGCAGGGGTGTCGAATTCATTTCTTATGGAGGGCTGGATTTGACATAAATGGGACTTTGTCGGGCTGGGCCACGTGTGTCATAAAATATAATGCCAGGTAGCAGAGATATAAACTTTATAAAGGACGCAAACACAAAGATTTTTTTTACTTAAAATAAAAACATGCCTGAAATATTAGCATTCTTGCAATATTTTGTTTATTTAATAGTCTCTGATAACTGACACTTCTTGCTCTGAATTATTGCATCAAAATGTCTGCTGTAGCAATCTGGGAGGGGGAGGAGCCTCAGCCCAGTGCAGGGAGCAGAAGCTTGCCTATCTATCTCTCCTGAGCGATTGAGCGAGTCTGGGAAAGCAAGCTATGATGCAGCAGCAGCAGCAGCAGCAGCAGCAGCAGCAGAACTGGAGAAAGAAGCAGGAGACAGCCAGTCCCTTGCGGGCCTGATAGAAACCTGGGGGGGCCCTAATCCGGCCCATGGGCCATAAATTTGACACCCCTGCTGTAGGGTGCTCTATACTCTTGGGTGTCTGGACTGCGGCAGATGGCCTGGTAATTCTGCACTGCACCAGATTGTCAGGAGTGCTAGACTCTGCCCAGTGCCTTCCAGTTCGCTGTCCCCTATCCCTCAGTTCTATGATTGAACTTTGGATAGGCAGCCCCTTCTGCACACTTCATCAGATGCTAAAAGTGGACTTTTTCACATAAAGTAAAATTAATTCATGTAACTGGCTGAGGGTGCATAGTGACAGCCATTAATTCAGGTTCCGTGAAAACAGGATTAGACCATTATGTGGAGAGCTCCATCCGTGTCCTATAGCCATAATGGCCAAATGGAAGCACTGTATTAAGGTTACCACCAGAAGGGCCTAGAAATCTCCTGAAATTACAACCAATCTCCAGATGACCAGGGGTCATTTCGTAGAAAAAGAGCTAGGGGAACTCATTAGCATAACTCATTAGCATATGCCACACCCCCTGACATCAGGGGCCCGGCGGTGGACCTGTAAGGCCAGCAGGAGTGCGAGGAAGCCCCGCCAAGGCCCTTCCTGGCCCCAGGCAGGCAGGGGTGGGGAGAGGCGGGGAGGAAGCAAATTACCCTCCCTCTTCTCCTGCCTCCTCCTGGCTGAATGAGGGCTGGAAGCGGGGCAGCCGGAAGCAGGGGGCGGGGCTTCGTCATGTGCCCCGCCCCCTGCACCTCACTTGGGGGAACTGCGTTCCCCCGCGTTCCCCCCCGAAATGACCTCTGCAGATGACATCAGTTCCCCTGGAGAAAATGGCTAATTTGGAGAGTGAACTGTACGGCATCATATCCCACTTATGTTCCTCTCCAAACCACACCCTCCCCACGCTCCACCCCCAAATCTCCAGGAATTTCCTAACGCAGAGCTTGCCAATCCTGCAAGGCACTATGTGGGTTCAGCAGGCGGAAACTTTGGCCTATGTGCCCTGCACTGCAGCCATTCAGTGGGGGTTGGCTACCATGGGCAACATGATGGATTTAGGTGGATGGTTTGCCTTAATTCCAGTTTGGCTCTTCTGACGTCCTTATGGATTTAGGAAACGGCTTTATGAATCAAGATGGGTAGCAGTGTTCCCTCTAAGCTGAGTGAGTGTGAGCTAGCTCACAGTTTTTTAGCCTCCAGCTCACACATTTTTGTCTTGGTGCAGGAAGAAGGGCTCCAGAGCAAACTAATTTATGTTGTAGCCAACTCACTGGCTCGCAACTTTAATGCCAGTAGCTCACAAAGTAGAGTTTTTGCTCACAAGACTCCAAAGCTTAGAGGGAGCATTGGTAGTGGGAACGGGATAAACATATGGAGCAGAGGTCCATCAGTGGCTATTAGCCACAAGGTATAGATAGGAACTCTCGGTCTGGGGCAAGCGATGCACTGTGTTCTTGGTGCTTTGGGGGGGCAACAGTGGGAGGGCTTCTAGTGTCCTGGCCCCACTGCTGGACCTCCTGGTGGCCCCTGGTATTTTTGGCCACTGTGTGACCAAGTGTTGGACTAGATGGGCCATTGGCCTGATAGCTTCTCTTATGTTCATCTGTCTGTAGCAACATAAAAGAGCAAGAGTCCAGTAGCACCTTAAAGACTAACAAAATATGTGACAGGGTAGGAGCTTTCCGGAGTCACTGCTCACTTCTTATGAATGAATATAGGTGTATTTGCATATAATACAGTATGGAGGAGTGTTTTGCTCCCTTGAATCCTACAGATCACTATAGGCAACTTATTTACTTTATTTGTTCGAAAGACAGCTTGTAACTCCAAAATGAAATAAAACAATTGGGTGCAGGGCCACATTTGTTCCCGCGTAGCAGAGGATGCCTGCAGATTGCAAGGAGACCTCGATGCTGCTAAGCGCCCCTTCCATCCATCCTTCTCTAGGCCGAGCCCAAGGTCAAGCCGTTAGGCCCGGCTGCCGAGGTTACCCATGACAACGGCCACGGGAGGGGCAGCGGAAGTCGAGGGAGAGCGAAAGGGAAGCCTCCTTTTTTTTCCCCTTTCCCCATCTCGCGATAGCCGTTCGCTTAGATTGTTGTCTGCGGCAGTTCTCGCGAGGGTTGCGTCTGAATGGGGCGGGTGGAACCACTTGAGTGACAGTCCCCGGTGGGGGGGGGGGAAGGAGAGGGTGTAGGTGGCCAAGATGGCGTCGGAGGGCGAGCTGGGCAGGAAGTGGGACCGGTGCTTGGCTGACTCTCTAGTCAAGCTGGGTAAGGGGCTGAGGAGGGGGGCTTGAGGGGAGGAACTGCAGGAAAGGGGGAGGGGTCTGTCGGGGGCGTCCTTGGTGTGGCCTCTGGTAACAGGTTAGGGGGTGAACTTGGGGGGGAGGCAGTGTTACTCTGGGAGTTTCACGGTCCCAGCCTTGTGCAGACAGATGGCCAACGTGTGTGACGTCTCCTTCTCGGCTGTATTAATTAATATCAGTTGCATTTTAATTGTATGCAATCGCTGTTTTATGTGTTCAGTACTGTGGGACTGTACCCTTGGGGAAACACTGGCTTGTATTGCAGGATTCTGTGAACAGAAATATTCATTGTGACTTTTTAAAAGCGTTTCTATTCTGCCCTTCCATCCTGATGCAGATCCCCAAGGGTGGGTTATGATGTCTGAAATTAAACATAATACCCCTAAACCCAAGCACTCATATTATATGCACAAGTGCATGTATGCACTTTAGAAATATAAAAGGAATTTTTAAAAGACCAGTTACATATACTTATCTGGAAAAAATCCACACACACCCTAACACCAGTATAATTCCAGATGGGTTAGTCAACTGCTGAAAAATAAAACGGGAGTCTAATGACACCTTCAGGACTAAAACAAATTATTCCAGTATAAACTCTGAGTCAGAGCTCACTTTATAAGCTCATTGAATTGTTTATGCATTAGGTGGATGCTTTTTTATTCACAGCAGAAAGGCAGGGGGAGAGGAGAGGTTGCAAAGACAGGCTGGTTTAATAAGGAGACATCCGTTTTATCTGGGGGGTGAGGGCCACCCCTAGCTGCGGACAGATAGGCAAAGCAGGACCAACAAAAATCAATTGCAAGGTAAGGAACAGAATGTTAACAGAAAGATATGCAAGATACCAGCAGCTATAGTGCAAAGGAATTCCAGGTCTCTATTAAGACCTGAGGGGTAAATAGTCTTGAACTTGTTAATGAATTCTAATCCAGCAATTTTGCATTGGATCATCCCTTTGAAGTTCTCTGGTGTGAGAACAGATTGGCAGCAGAATGCCATGGAAGATTAAAATGTTCACGCACACCCCCAGGTTTTTAAATATATATACAGGTATAGACACATACACACTCATGTTCATTTAATGTAAGCTACCTAAAACCAAAACTGTGTCCAGTTTTGGGCACCACATTTTAGGAAGGATGTTGACAAACTTGAGCGTGTCCAAAAGAGGGCAATCAGGATGGTGAGAGGGTTGGAATCCAAGTCTTACGAGGAAAGGCTGAAGGAGTTGGGTCTGTTTAGCCTGGGAAAGAGAAGGCTTAGAGGGGACATGATTGCAGTCTTCAAGTATTTGAAGGGCTGTCATGTAGAAGATGGAGCAGATCTATTCTCTCTTGCTCCGGATTGCAAGACTAGATCTAATGGGTGGACATTACAAGGGAGTTGTTACCATCTAAATATCAGGAGAAACTTCCTAACTGTAAGAGTGGTTGAGCAGTGGCACAGTCTGCCTCGAGAGGTGGTAGATGCTCCTTCGCTGGACGTTTTCAAGCGGAGGCTGGACGACCATCTTTTGGGTATGTTGTAGGTATGTAGGGCTATCTTTCAGCTATGCTCCTGTAGAGTGCAAGGGGTTGGACTAGATGACCTGCAATGTCCCTTCCAACTCTAACATTCTATGATTCTATAAAAAGATGAAAGGAACGAATTTGACAACATTCAGAAACTCATTGGTAGACATATACAGTCACATCCATTTGATATATATAAGCACACACGGAGACACATATATTCACACACGCCCAGGTGAAAAGATAAATATTAATTAATTTAAAAGACCACTACCTGTAATGCGTGCATGTATGCATGACAGGAGTATTGCTGAACTGAGATGGGTGTTTCAGCTTTGTGCGGTGAAGGCCTGTGTTCAAATCTCTATTCAGCTATGTGGTGTTGGAGGGTCATATTTTGCATAACATAGTAGGGAGGAGTAGAAACCAGTACGAGTCCAGTAGCACCTTAAAGACTAACAAAATTTGTGGTAGGGTGTGAGTTTTTGTGAGTCACTGCTCACTTCTTCAGATATAGTAGGGAGGGGAGGACAGCTCTTGGGGTAGAGAGGAAGGGTTTAGGAGCTGGAACTGTGCACCCCATTCCCATGGCACAGGGCCCAGAGGCATGAAGAAATGTGTGCTGCTGAAGCATCGTGAGGAAATTTAGGAGAGTTGTCCAGATGTGTAAATTAAAAACTAGAAGCCAGCAGGCAAATAACTGGCTGATTTTTTAAAGATGAATTTATTCTGTAAAGTTTAAGTCGGTCCCTGCTGCCCTTACTTGTTTTCCTCTAAGCCAGGGGTGGCCAAACTGCAGCTCGGGAGCCACATGCGGCTCTTTCACATATATACGTAGTGCGGCTCCCGGCAGGGCGGCTGGGGAAGCGAAGGGGAGGCATATTTTTTCTCCCTCCCTCCCTCTCTTCCTTCCTTTCCTCTCTCTCCCATCTGCTTTCTTTGTTTCTCTCTCTCTCTTTCCACTTCTTTCATTCTTTCTTTCCACTTCTCTCTTTTTCTCTTTCTCTCTTAGACAAATAAATATCATTAGCTAACAAATATCATTATCAATATCTGTTTTTACCCCTTTTTATTTTTGGCAGTCTCATTTCATGTTAACACAAAGCAAATTTGCATATTTTAAAATAAAAACATGTCATATTTGTTCACGTCTCGCGGCTCTCAAACATCTGACATTTATTCTGTGTGGCTCTTAAGCTGAGCAACGCCTCTCCCCCCCCCCCCCCGCTCTAAGCCTTCTCTTGGGTTTTTGGATTCATCCGTTGTCTGCCTGTTTTTCAGTCACCTGTTCTCTGGGCTTCCTCCTTTGGCTTTCTAAGTTCTGTGGATCTATTTCTAGCTCCTGGCCTGCCTCTAAAGCAATCCCTCTCCCTAGGGACTGCGTAGGGCTGCCATCCTCCAGGTAGGGCCTCCCAGAATAAGAGCTGATCTTTGCCCTTTGGAGGTCCGTTCCTGTGGAAGAAAAGACAGCTTGGAGGGCAGCGTCTATGACACCAAGGTTGAAATGACAAGGTTAAAGCGCTTGGGGCCCTTTAGCTTGGAGAAACGACGGCCGAAGGGTGACATGATCGAGGTTTATAAGATTATGCCTGGGATAGAGCAGGTGGCGAAAGAAGGACTTTTCTCCCTTTCTCACAAGACAAGAACTCGTCGTGGGCACTCCGTGAAATTGCTGAGCAGTCGGGTCAGAACGGATAAAAGGAAGTCCTTCTTCACCCAAAGAGGGATTAACACATGGAATTCACTGCCACAGGAGGTGGTGGCGGCTACAAGCATGGACGGCTTCAAGAGGGAATTAGATAAGCATATGGAGCAGAGGTCCATCAGTGGCTATTAGCCACAAAGTTTAGACAGGAACTCTCAGGCTGGGGCCAGGGATGCTCTGTCTTCTTCGTGCTTGGGGGGGGTGTTCAACAGTGGGAGGGCTTCTAGTGTCCTGGCCCCGCTGCTGGACCTCTTAGTGGCACTTGGTATTTCTGGCCACTGTGTGACAGAGTGTTGGACTACATGGGCCATTGGCCTGATCCAACATTGGCTTCTCTCTTATGTTCTTATCACAGCCCCACTGATTTCTCTCTCCTCCCCAAACTCTGCCTTCTCCAGGCACTGCACCTAAATTTCCAGGAATTTCATTATCTGGAACTAGCAACTCTGTGAGATTTTATTCCCAGCCAGAGTGGCAGCTTTCTGCTTTACTCTCAGAAGCTGAGCTGCAAACTTTCTGGCAACTTTATTTTCTGAGCACTTATGTGATCACACCAGCTCCATCCATCTCTGTCAGAGGTGGTGACATCAAGACTGAGTTCTGTTTTCAGGCCTAAAGAACATTCTTTGGGCTGTGTCTTCGGCCTAAAGAACATCAGTGTGAAAAAGATGGAATTGTCTGTTCTACATCATAGTTCCAGCCAGGTGGGTAGCTGCATTAGTCTGTAGCAACAAAATAAAACAGCAGCTAGTCCAGTGCCACCTTAAAAAGCAGTCACACACACTAAATAATCCACTTTCAATCCATTTTCAATGCACTTTCCAACTGGATTTTGCCAGTTCACACAACAAAAATCCAATTGCAAAGTGTACTGAAAGTGGATTGAAAGTGGATTATTCAATGTGTGGCCACAACCATAGTTCAATCCAGCCTAAGCTTTTGTGTGTCAGAGCTCACTTCATCAGGCGCATTGTTCCTGAAAAAAGACTTCAAAGGAAGAATCCAACACAATCTTGCTGAATTAGAATTCATTAACAAGTTCCAGACTATTTACCCCTCAGGTCTTAATAAGAACCTGAGATTTCTCACTCAGTGTTGGTGCTAGTACCTTGGATATCTCTCATCTTACAGATGGTAATTAGTTCAGCTGTACTTCTGTAACTTCCTTCTGTATCTGCCTAGCTCGCTCTAGATTTTATGTTAGTCCTACTTTGCCTAACAACAGCTGAGAGTAGCCCTGAACCTCTCTAAGTGAATGGTTAAATCTTGATTTAAATTGGTCTCACTTTGTGATATCACCCCACCCTGAGTTTCTATTGTGACTACAAAAGCATTGACCTAATGCATAGATTCAAGTCCCAGCAACACCTTAAAGACCAACAAGATTTCCAGAGTATAATAAGCTTTAGTAAGTCAATGCTTCCTTCTTTAAGGTACTTTGTTGTTGTTGTTGAGTTGCACAGTCGAGTCCGACTCTTTGCGACCCCATGGACCACATGATGCCAGGCCCTCCTGTCTTCCGTCGTGCTCCAGAGTTTGCTTAATTTCATGTTCATTGCCTCGATAACACTGTCTAACCATCTCATCCTTTGCCATCCCCTTCTTCTTTCACCTTCAGTCCTTCCCAGCATCAGGGTCTTCTCCAGTGAGTGCTCCCTTCTCATTTATTGGCCAAAGTATTTGAGCTTCAGCTTCAGTCTCTGGCCTTCCAGGGAACAGTCAGGGTTGATTTCTTTTAGGATTGACTGA